GACCTAATACATACATTCACCTAAGCATACATATATATAAAATTGCAGGACTTTCTGGGGGAAAAAAATCCAACCGTCAAAAATTCAACAATCAAATAATATTGTTTTCCATCCATATCACATGAAGGACAAGGGAAAGCACTCTGCTTGAATAGAAAATTAACATTTTCAGGGAAATCTCTATATTTTTGATTACCAGCAGATTCAATAAATACAAAACGAAGACATTTTTAATGCATGATAAAGAAATGTCCATGTAAAATAGATTTATCATGAGGGAAATGTTTTGGGACAAACAGCTATGGAAACAATTTTAAGGGTGGATGGGGATCCACCATTGTTTATTGTATATACACTGCATACAGGTTGTTCTCATTTAACAATTATAATTGGGGTAAACGACTTGTTATTAAGTGAAGTGGTTGCTAAGTGAAAAAAGGATAAGTGAAACTGTGCTTATAATTTTATTTCAGATGTTTTTGGTTTACAGGGTCAGACCATTGGTGGGATTCAAATAATTTAACAACCAGTTCTCTGCCTTAATGATTTCTTCCAACAACCAATTCACCAAACTGCTCAGAAAGTAAACAACCGATTCTCCCGAAGTGGTGCGAACTGGCTGAATCCCATCACTGGATACAACCCCAAACAATTGGGTGAGGTCAACTGGCAGGGATCGTCTCCAGAACCTGACTCACCATCTTATACTATAAACTTTTTCCCAGGGGTGAAATCCTTCCGGTTTGGACTAGATTGGGCGATCCGGTAGCAATTGTGGCAGGTGGTTCGAAGAACCGGTAGCAATGGCGGCGCGAGGCTCCACCCAGCCACCCGGGTGTTGTTACTTCCTGGTTTTAACCAGGAAGTAATGTTTTTTTTACTCTCTGTGCATGCACAGAAGATTTTGCGCATGCGCAGAGGGTCTGTACATGCATGTGATGCGCACGGGTGGCACATGCACTTCCGAACCGGTAAGGAATGTAAGTAGATTTCATCCCTGCTTTTTCCCTTTGGATCTCTCTCTCTCTCTCTCTCTTAAGAAGAGAACTGATGTTCATCTTAAATTCCTTGGAGAGGTAGGGATTACAAGAGAGTAAGGAGGCACACAATGGGGAACATTCATTGAAAGGAATCCACTAGTGCCAGCTATTTGCAGAGTTAGGAAGCAATCAAAAGCTTTTAGTATGAAATTGGTTAGGGTCTTGTCAATTTCAGGCAGCAGCTTGAAACTGGCCAAACTAATTTGAGATCACAGCTGAGCTTATTAACTTGCAATTAGCACATTTTAGGGGTGTGCTGTGCTGTGGAGAAAAGCAGCCTGGGAAGAAACTACTTGTTTACACAATATCTGTGTTCTGTTGGAGATGGGAAGGAAAAAAAATGTGTCCGGCATAGGACAACTGACTATAATGGTGAACAGGTGACTGAGACAGACTTGCAAAGATTGTAGATGTGGGGTTTGGTTGCAAAGTTACTTCTTTTTTTATAACTGTCATAACTAATCTCTGTCTGAGATCATTACTAGCTGAGGACTACCTGTATATACTTTATTCTGTATCAGGTTAATTGTTTTCGTTATTCAGTTTTGTTTACATCCTTTAAAAAAAGATATATAGTTCAGTGGTGAAATTCAATTTTTTTTACTGCCGGTTCTGTGGGCGTGGCTTGGTGGGTGTGGCTTGGTGGGTGTGGCAGGGGAAGGATACTGCAAAATCCCCATTCCCTCCCCACTCCTGGGGGAAGTATATTGCAGAATCTCCATTCCCACCCCACTCTGGGGCCAGCCAGAGGTGACACTAGCCAGTTCTCCGAACTACTCAAAATTTCCACTACCGGTTCTCCAGAAGCTGTCAGAACCTGCTGGATTTCACCCCTGATATAGTTCTACAAAAGATAGGGCTGATTTTATGAGTTCCCAAGTTCCACTGACAAAAACAACATAATGTGAAAACAGGTTTTTCTTGGGGCTAATCCTGTTTGTCTTTTGATTGTTGTAATATAGGAGATGGAGGAAGATTACCTGAATGCCACATCTGATATGTTTCTGTGTTTTAATACAAATTCACTCATACCTTTTTTTTTCTCCCCAAATACATCTTTGTACCTTAATTTTAAATTAACATGTCAAATACCCCCAAATACAATAAGAAATGTAAGGGAGCCTTTTAAATAAGAAATGTAAATACTTTCAAAGTATAAGAACACCTCTTTTTGACAAGACTATGTCAAATACCTAATGGGCATTTAAGGGCTACAGTTTATTCTTTTAAGCATTGCCTAATTTAGTATTATATAAAATGTGCAGCTAAGCACTCCTTTGGTAATTCTGCCTCATTAACTGTAATCTCTTATGCCAAATAGTTCAGAGACTATAAATATTTGTAATAGTTTGATATTACACATCAAAACAAAAGACAGAAGTTATGCATGGATTTTATTTTCAGCTGCCAAAATGCCTCCGATTCCCCTTCACTTGGAAATACCACACTTACAGTAGTTGAAGAATAAGGGGTGGGAATGCTCAGATAAGAAGGAATTCTATGCCCTAACATTTCAAATAGAATAACAGAGTTGGAAGGGACCTTGGAGGTCTTCTAGTCCAACCCTCTGCTTAGACAGGAAACCCTACACCACTTCAGACAAATGGTTATCCAACATCTTCTTAAAAACTTCCAGTGTTGGAGCATTCGCAACTTCTGGAGGCAAGTTGTTCCACTGATTAATTGTTCTAACTATCAGGAGATTTCTCCTTAGTTCTAAGTTGCTTCTCTCCTTGATTAGTTTCCACCCGTTGCTTCTTGTCCTGCCCTCAAGTTCTTTGGAGAATAGTTTGATTCCCTCTTCTTTGTGGCAACCACTGAGATATTGGAACACTGCTATCATGTCTCTCCAGCCCTTCTTTTCATTAAACTAGACATACCCAGTTCCTGCAACCCGTTCTTCATATGGTTTAGCCTCCAGTCCTCTAATCATCTTTGTTGCTCTTCTCTGCACTCTTTCTAGAATCACCCCATCTTTTTTACATCGTGGCAACCAAAACTGGATGCAGTATTCCAAGTGTGGCCTTACCAAGGCATTATAAAGTGGTTTTAACACTTCATGTAATCTTAATTCTATCCCTCTGTATATGAAGCCTAGAACTGTGTTGGCTTTTTTGGCAGCTGCTGCACACTGTTGGCTCATATCTAAATGGTTGTCCACTAGGACTCCAAGATCCCTCTCACAGTTACTATTATTGAGCAAGGTACCACATATACTGTACCTGTGCATTTTGTTTTTCTTGCCTAAATGTAGAACATTACTTTTTTCACCATTGAATTCCATTTTGTTAGATAGGGTTCAAGAATGTTCAAGTCTGTCAAGATCCTTCTGTATCTTCTGGAGTGTTGGCTATTCCTGTCAGCTTGGTGTCATCTGCAAATTTGATGAGTTCCCCATCTATCCCCTTGTCCAAACCATTGATGAAGAAGTTGAAGAGTACTGGGCCTAAAACAGAGCCTTGGAGTACTCCCCTGCATATTTCCCTCCATGTAGATGGAGTTCCATTGAGGACTACACGTTGAGTGCAGTTGGTCATCTAGTTACGTGTCCATCTGGTGGTGATGCTGTCTAACCCACATTTTTCTACTTTATCTAGTAGTAAGTTATGGTATACTTTATCAAATGCCTTACTGAAGTCCAAGTAAATTATATCGACAGTATTCCTTTGGTCCACTAATTTTGTCACTTTGTCAAAGAATGCAATAAGATTAGTCTGGCATGATCTGTTTTTGACAAGCAAGTTGAAGAATAAGGGTTGACGGTGCTCAGGTAAGAAGGAATTATATGCTCTAACATTTCTTGTAGACAGTTAGGCTTTTACATCTTTCACTTTTCTGTTCTGTTCCATAAAATGCCTTGGTTATGGGTGTGATACTGAAGAACTGTTGCATACATTGAGTTCAGTCCAGGAAGCCCAACATCAGTAGGGCATTCTAAGCTAAGAGAATGTGAGGTGATTCCGACAACATTACTAGCTGCAACTAGCTCAAGTGGACATGTAAATAGAGGTCAACAGTTAACAGTAACAGAGTTGGAAGGGACCTTGGAGGTCATCTAGTCCAACCCCCTGCTCAAGTAGGAGACCTGTACCAGGGATTTGAACCGCTGAACTTTCTGATCAACAAGCTCAGTGTCTTAGCCACTGAGCCACCTTGTCAGGCTCTGCGAAGGGGGTTTAAAAAGCAAGCCATCACATCACCATCAAAAGGTAACCTATTGTTAAACAGTTATTTCTTTTAGTAGTTAAAACCATAACCAAAAATATTGAAAAAAGAATAAGAAAACATAAAATCATAAGAAAATGACAGGCTATATAAAAATAAAAAGAATTTTCAAAATAACAGTGGATTAGTACAATATACACTGCTCAAAAAAATAAAGGGAACACAAGCAGAAGACATCCGAGATCTGAATGAATGAAATAGCCTTATTAAATACTTTGTTCGTTACATACAGTAGTTTTGTGTTCTCTTTAGTTGCTTGAGCAGCGTATAAACTACTGTATGTAAAGAACAAAGTATTTAATAAGGCTATTTCATTCATTCAGATCTCGGATGTCTTCTGCTTGTGTTCCCTTTATTTTTTTTGAGCAGTGTATTTTGTGTATGAGGTTTTGAAATTCCTATTTCAAGAAATTGGTAAAGAAAAAGTTGATGTGGCAAAGCTTTATGTTAAGAAAAGCTCAAACTTTAGATGCAGTACTAGTCGATAAGTAGAGTTATAACCCACGAAAGGTTTTCAAGTTGAATTAAAGTTTGCATCAGGCTTGTTTTTCAAACCTGAAATTATTTGTGTCACTGATAAATACTCTCCCAGCTTAGTTTATCATTCTTCTGAGGAGCAAATTGTCTGATTTGTCAATAAAAGATATAAACTGTTCTTGCAGCTATTACCTCAGTATACTTTGTAGGGATATAAAGTTCAGTAATGTTTGAAATAAAAACAGCTGACAGGAAAAAAAGAATTTGATCTTTAATATTTGTTTCATTCTGTAATAAATCATCTTCCAGAATTGTTGGGCTCTACAACAAAATATATAGGATTGATCTGACCTTATTGCATTTACAACAGTTTTTTAAAAATGAATAGTTTAAGTGTTAATATTCCCAGAATATTTAATTTTTGCCTTTCATCTATATCATGGGTGTCAAACTCTTGGTGTCACATTGCCGTCACATGACGTATCGTGACGTTTTTCCCCTTCGCGGAGCTGGGGTGGGCATGGCCTGTGCGTGACATATGGGCTGCCAGTTTGACACTCCTGATCTATATTCTCGCTGTTGAACATCAATTGACCTGTTTAAAATCTGTTTATTTTAATAATACAACCTTTAATTTATTTGGCTTCTGAGTTGTAATTCAATAACAGCATTAAATAAGTTTCAACAAATATTTTGAATTTTGTTTCTTCTGCATTTTTCAAATTTGGTCAAATCTAAAAAGTATTCTGGTTTGTTTGTGCAATTCTTTGAAAAATATTCTTAATCTGAAAACTGATTAGGTGATTTTTAACTGTACTAAATGACCTGTATCTGAAAAGATTGTGTCTTTATTAAGTCTTCTGATCTGTGCAATTATCTAAGATGATTAAGGGCCTGGGGACAAAAATATACGAAGAATTGTTGCAGGAATTGGGTGTCACCAGTCTAGAGAAAAGAAGGAGTAGGGGTGACATGATAGCAGTATTCCACTATTTGAGAGGCCACCACAAAGAAGAGGGGGTCGACTTATTTTCCAAAGCACCAGAGGTTAGGACAAGAAACAATAGATGGAAACCAATCAAGGAAAGAAGCAACCTGGAATTAAGGAGAAACTTCCTAACAGTGATGACAATTTAGCAATGGAACAACTTGCCTTCAGAAGTTGTAGGTACTATACCAGGGGTGGGTTCTAATTTTTTTTACTACCGGTTCTGTGGGCGTGGCTTATTTTGTAGGTGTGGCTTGGGGGGTCATGTGACTAGGTGGGTGTGGCTAGCTGGTCAGAGTCATTTCTGGAAGGTCCCCGCACTTACGACCAGTCCTCGCACTTACGACCTGACTCATTTGTTTGCTTTTAACACTGATCAGCTGTAGGACGGCCCTTTGAAGCCCCACAGCAAGAGTTTAAACAGGTTTTTTCCCTCTAGTCATCAGCTGGGACTCAGGAGGCAGCAATAGATTGGGGGTGGGACCAAATAAAAGGTAAGAATAACGTGGGGGGGTGGGGGGGAGGGTGGGGGGGAGAACCGGTTCGGTGATGTCATATCGTCACCGCTACCGGCTCGGCCGAACCGGACCGAACCGGGAGGAACCCACCACTGTACTATACCTATCTGAAATGGTACAGGGCAGTGATGACTAATCTTTTTCTCATTGTGTGTCGAAAGTGCGCATGCGTGCCGGCAACCATAATGCAATGTGCCCCCCCTGCACATGGGCACGTGACCCCCCACACACTCCCTCTGTTCCCCCATGCATGCACATGTGACTCCCCCACACCCCGTTTTGGGCCTAGCATGCCTCCCTGCAGCCTCCTGGGCCCAGAAAAGGGTTGTGGGGGGCACACCACACCCCCACGTGCCCCCCTTCACCCCCACGCATGCACGCCTGACCCCCGCCCCCACACATGTGCACGCGACCCCCCTGTGCATGCGTGCATGTCTCCTACATGCGCCCCGCCCCCCACGCATCCTGAAAATCAGCTGGCCGGTGGGAGGCACGCATGCGCATGCACAATGGAGCTGCGCTGGACAATGGCTCATATGCCCGCGGAGAGGGCTGAGTGCCAGCTGTGGCACGCATGCCATAAGTTCGCCATCTTGGGTATAGGGTCTCCTGCTTGAGCAGGGAATTGGACTAGAACTCCAAGGCCCCTTCCAGCTATATTCTGATTGATATTGATTTTTTGGTGGGAGGTATATTCCCCGTCATGTATATACATAAATATATCTTTAACATTGAGGCAAAGATTGTTGAATCTGAACTGATTGTTTTCCTCTGTTCATTTTTACATTTTTAATTTAGTGCTTATGATTGAATAATCTGGTATAGACTGTGTATTTTTCCTTATGCATGCACCACATGTACCAAAAGAGCAGGACCTTAATTATATGGGCACAGACATTATATTGACTTAGCTGCATGTTTTTTGACCCCACCTCCGGTGCCCTTAGTGACTATAACTGGTGACTGTTTTAGATGTCTCACTCTCATTTTGAATATAGATGAGCAAATAATCCTAGAAAAGCAGAGTGGATGTTAGAAGATGAGAGCAAGAATCTTTTGTCTGAGAATTACAAGGAAACTGGGGGAAAAAATGGAAGACAAACTGCAGATGGGAAGAATATTGAAGGCTTTTGATTGACTTGAAGCTACCACCTGTGCGCTAATTTTAAATTGCTCTGAGAATAGCACACACCTGTTGCACCTTGTGACATCTTGATCAGTAGCACACAAGCAGAATTTCTGATGTGCCAGTATTGGTTTCCATATCGGAAACATACTGGTATTTGCCAGATATGGCACAGATCAGAGGTGGGCTTCACATAATTTAACAACCAGTTCACCTAGTGCAGAACTGAAAATGTGAGCTTGCGCGCAGCTTCAAACATACGTGATTTTCTGTGCGCAGCTTCCAGTGCACCTTCTTGGGCAGCCGTGGTGAATACAGCAGGCGAGGCGCAGAAATCAGCTGGGCTGTGTGGGCCGAGTGAGTGAGCCAGAATGTGAAATATATAGGATGAGATAATGCCAGGGCAGGTGGGCGGACCCAGACGGTGGTTGGAACTACCAGTTCGCTCGAACTGGTCTGAACCGGCAGCAGCCCACTTCTGGCACAGATGATATAGAATTAGGTCAATGAATAGAAATTGGCACCTCCTTTGAAGTTAAACATGGAAAAAATACCTACATCCAGGGCTTTTTTAACTAAGTTCTTCAAGTTTAATCTATTAGGGTTGAGCCAAATAAGACAGACTACATGCTAGCATTTCTGAAATTAAACTCTAGGAAACCCTGAAGTGTATGAAGCTTTCCAGAGCAAGGTTAACAACCCAGTTTACATCACCAATGAAACAAACAAATCAAAACATCTTATGCAATATGCAGGACTTCCTTCCTTCCTTCCTTCCTTCCTTCCTTCCTTCCTTCCTTCCTTCCTTCCTTCCCCTCTTCCTCTCTCCCTCCCTCCCTTCCTATATATTTTCTCCAAATAGGCAGCTATTTATAAAAAAAATACCAAGGGTGAACTATATTGCTGATTGGTTCCTTTTGATTGATCAGAATGCTTTTTCTGGTACTTTGCTTTGCTGGAGTAGACAGTATCAATTCCATCAATCAATAAAGCCCATCAAAATGCAGGGATTTCATCTTACAACTAAGTAGAGTGTCAGCTATGTGTATCAAAGTTTAGGAGGAAATGGCCAATTGCTCAAGCCAGAACAAACTCCTATAAATGACTTTTTGGAAGACTTTACTGCTCTGCTCATGGATGCTTTTAGGAATGTGAGAAGACTTTGCAGGGAACGTGGAGAGGAAATGCACACTGATTGCCTACATCACATTTGCACTGAATAGTAAGGAAGTCATTATATTCTAGCAGTATCCAGTATTACCATAAAGAGCACCCAATCATATTTTTTTTCTGAAATCAGATTTTTCTTAAAGGAAAAAACAGAAGCAGGGCTTCAAGTCCCTAAAAGTCCAGGTTTTTGATACTTATACTGTTTTATGAATAAATAGTGGCAATTTTAAAAAATTAACTTGATGTATCCTAATAATCTGAAGGGAGAATTCTCAAATGTCAAACTAACTTTAATGCTAATATGCGACAGTTAAAAACTATTGTTGGGGTTACAGCAGGGGTGAAATCCAGCATGTTCTGACAGGTTCTGGAGAACCAGTAGCGGAAATTTTGAGCAGTTCTGAGAACTGGTAGTGGAAATTGTGAGTAGTTTGGAGAACTGGCAAATACCACCTCTGGCTGGCTCCAAAGCGGGGTGGGAATGGAGATTTTGCAGTATCCTTCCCCTAGAGTGGGGTGGGAATGGGGATTTTGCAGTATCCTTCCCCTGGAGTGGGGTGGGAATGGGGATTTTGCAGTATCCTTCCTCTGGAGTGGGGTGGGAATGGAGATTTTGCAGTATCCTTCCCCTGCCATGAACTGGTAGTAAAAAAAATTGGATTTCACCACTGGGCTATAGAATGTGACTGTCAGCACTTCAACTTGCATTTACTCTAGTGCTGACATAAGAAGGAGAAGCGAAGGCGTCTGGAAAGGGACGGCTGACTTTTCACCTACTTATTTTCTCTGGAGATAATGTTTCCGAGGAGATGAGATGGGAGGGGGGAATTCCTTTGAGCTTGAGTAGATTAGGGGTAGAATGACTTGGAAGATGGCCAATGAGTGCAGGGGAGTGGGTAACGGAAAGGGAGGGTTTGGGGGCTGGAAGTCAGTGTTGGCTTCGTTTGGAGTCAGGTTAGGATGTTGTGCTCAATAAATAGAAGTTTTTTCTTCAAAGATTTTGTTTGAAATGCATTTTATTCGAGACGACCTCGAAACTTGACAGTGACACTTGTACAGCGTAGAAATATATTTCAGGTATTTGAGGATATAATACATCTTTAAATGTTTTCCATATGTAATGGTGAAATCTGCCAAAATGGAAGCCTCCATTTTTGTTGAAGGCTGTTGAGTGACAGCTTCAGAAGGTACTGAAGTATTAATGTTGTCCAGACCTTTTCAGCCTGGTTTCAAGATGGATCCTAATACTAACATGGCCTTAGTAGTACTTGTTGATGGACAGGGATCTACTTGATCTCTTGGAGGGTTTCAATACTGTTGACCATGATATCCTTCTGGACCAGCTGTAGCAATTGGGAGTGGAGGCACTATGTTCCAGTGGTTCTCCTTTCTCTGTGGATGGTCTTTTCATGCTTGACAAGGGGAAGAAAGATCAAACAAGGCACCCCCTCCTACATGGTTGCTTCAGGATTCAATACTCTCACCCCTCCTCTTTAACATCTACAGGTAGTCCTGTAGA